TCAACAAATTTTCTCACGATGAACTGTCCCAAGTAACGAATCATATGAACAGATGTATGGTGATTGTTCGGCTGTGACTTCTCCGGCATCCGCTGAGGCGCTGGCATCCGCTGTGGTTGCAAAACGATCTTGAGAGTTTCTGTAAGAGGCAGCCTACGCATTCTCAGCACTTCCGCCGAAAACATTCCCAGTGTGATTGGATTGCAGATATTCTGAGGACCAACAGGAAGTGAAAGTGTCATGGTAGTGATAGCCAACAGTCCATCACCTTTTTGCGGAACGTTGAACTCGAAGTCTATTTGTGGAAAGCGGATGCGTAGGTCGGATATCATCTGTGTCAAGTGCTTTTGGTGGTAGAATGTGACTTCCTCGATACATTCTTCAGCTAGCTGACGATTGACCTTGAGTATGGAGAGATCCTGTGACGCACGAATGAGGTGCGCGAATATGGTGTTACGGACTTCGCGAGGGAGCTCTAGTGGAAGAACCATGTTCTGATGCCAGCAAATGATAGCGGGTAGTGTGAGACGATACCAGAGGCTTATTCGGAAGTTATATGTAAACACTTCAACAACCCAAACAGTGTTGAAGGTATTGCTGTAAGGGTTCAGAATCCACAAACCGTCCTCCTGGCAACAGCTGGCATAGTCATTCTTATCGGACCAAACATAATGATCGAAACTTGTTGACAGGGAGAAGATCAAAGAGGGAAGCAGGCGGAAGTAGTGACATACGATGTGTACCTCAACGCAGAGAATCCCCCAGATGTGATAACAAACCCGAACGCCGCGGCTATGCATCAAAAATCGCAAACTGATATCCTCATAGCTCTGACACTACCTCCTCCCCTTTCCTTGCCCTGCACCAGCACCACCTCCACCCATGCCCGGCATGCCACCCATACCACCCATCATCTTCATCATGGCACCCATATCAGGCATGCCACCCATTCCGCCTAGGGCTGACATGTCGGGCATGCCGCCACCGCCGCCTCCACCGAGCATCTTCATCATAGCACCAATATCTGGCATGCCACCGCCGGCACCGCCGGCGCCTCCTCCCATACTTTGCATGCGCTTCTGCATAGCTGCGAGTTGTTGTTGCTTGTTTCCTCCTCCCATGGCACCTTGTGCTTTCTGCATGTTCGCCATTCCACCCTTCATCTTCTTCGCCATACCGGCCATCATACGATGTTGGGTAAGCAGTTCCTCGACTTCACGCACGGAGGTACCGGAGCCACGAGCGATGCGTGTCATACGTGTGGGCTGATCAACGAACATCTTTCCATCCGACTCTAGCTCTTTCTCAGTCATACTGTCGCAGATGTAAATCATGCGCTTGAGCTTGGTACCGCCCTCCTCATCGTCCATACCACCCATCATGCTGCTGAGACCGGGAATCATGCCTGCCATCTTAGACAATGGTCCCATCTTCATGATGTTGGAGAGCTGATCCCGCAGGTCCTTGATAGTGAAGATTCCTTGAGTGATATGCTTCATGGTGTCTTTTTGGTCGAGTTTGAGCGATTGCACGTGTTCGACAAGCCCTTGCACGTCTCCCATGCCAAGCAATTTCGAGACGAAAGCCTGTGGCGCGAAGCGCTCGAGATCCAGCATGTGCTCTCCGTTTCCGAGGAAGACAATAGGCGTGTGCGTTGCTGCGACAGCGGAGATGGCACCACCTCCTGCTGCTGCACCGTCTGTCTTGGTAATGACGATAGCTCCGAAGTCTGCAGCCTCCTTGAAAGCGCGCGCTTGCGACTCAGCAGCCTGACCGATTGTTCCATCCAGCACCATGATTGTCTGATCGGGAGTCACGGCATTCTGAATCTGCACCATCTCGTCGAAGAGGTCTGTCTCTTGTCGGTGACGTCCAGAGGTATCCACGATGATGATCTCGAAGCGCTCCTTCTTGAACTTCTCCACACCCTCGGCTGCCACGACGACAGGATCGGTCTGTGTATGGCTACCGTAGTATGGGATCTTCGCCTTGGTCGCGTTCTGCTTCAGTTGATCGAAGGCACCAGCACGGAAGGTATCGGCGCACACCAGACAGGCCTTGAAGCCTCTTGCCTGGTACCATCTCGCCAGCTTTGTACACGTTGTCGTCTTACCCGCACCCTGCAGACCAACAAACATGATGACGTTCGATTTGCCCTTGCGGGGCTTGAAGGGTTCGGCATGGGGGTCGACCATCTTGACGAGTTCATCGAAGACGGCTTTCTGGATGAGGCGCTTCTTGTTCACACCTGGCGCGAGATGCTTGAAGTCAACGGCTTTCTTGATCGATTGTCGCAGGTTCATGACGAGTTTGACGTTGACATCGGCTTCGACGAGGGCGTTGGAGATCTCCTTGACCATGGCTTCGAAGGCCTGCGCATGTTAGCCACCTAGCATTATGTCGCGCTCTCCTGTGGCGGCACCCACCTTCTCATCGAGGTTTGGCGACCTCGTGAGGTCAGTGACGGCGGCATTGATGCGCCGCCCGAGATCTTGAAGCACCATAGCGGCGGTTGTTAAGGGGGTATCGGGGGTTGGGTGAGGTTGTAGGGTGTTTGGTGCTGGTGATCTCTCGTGGTGTTCTGTGGGGAATCCAGTATGGCGGGGCGCGCTTGCCGTCGTCCACGGTCGGTGATTTGGGTTGCTAACGCCGACGCCTCTGGAACTTTTTTTTGCGACCGCGCTCTACTTGCAACATTCACAAATCTCGACATTCACAGCCACAATGGTCAACACATCGCTGAAACGGAGACGGACCGAGGAGCAGTTGCGCGGAAAGGTGCCCAAGAAGGAGAAGAGAAAGGTCAAGAAGCAGAAGAACTACCACAGTTCGAGTGACGAAGAAGAGGGTGCCGCACGCGATGCACCTCGGCGCGGAAGCAGTCTAGAGCCAGAAGAGCCATTCCAGCCTTCGGGTGTCAATGCGACGTTGCCCGGAAAGCAAGAGCTGTCAAAGCAACAGCTGAGGAAACAAGCAAAGTTTGAGGCCAAGAAAGCAGCACAACAAGCGGCGGCAGCAGAGGAGTCTTCAGCCAGCGACGACGAAGAAGAAGAGCAAGTTCAAGCAGCGCCACTGAAGAAGCCTGAGCCCAAGTTCAAGGCTAGCATACCAGCAAAGGCGCCAGCAAAGTCTGCCCTGAAGAAGACTGCGCCCGTCGACCACGAAGCGCCATTACCAAGCGACGCCGAGGATGATCAAGACGACTCTGAACCTGAAGCGGATGAGTTCTCAATCGCCGACTCTGAGTCGGATGCTTCCGACGCCTCATCTGTATCCGAGACCTCAACCACTGCCGCGCGCAAAGTACGAAAGCGAAACGACCCCGAGGCCTTTGCCAACTCGATTTCCAAGATTTTGGGTTCAAAACTGACAAGCTCAAAACGCTCCGAGCCTATCCTGTCCCGCAGCAAAGATGCCGCAACCGCCAACCGTGAGCTCGCCGACTCCAAACTCTCGGAGAAAGCGCGCCGACAAATTGTTGCTGAGCGCAAGGCGGCACAGGAGAAAGGTCGGGTGAAGGATGTCTTGGGCCTCAACGACCCAAATGTCAGCACGGCTGCCACATCAGCAAAGGAGAAGGAGCTCAGGCGGACGGCACAGAAGGGTGTCATCAAGCTGTTCAACGCTGTAAGGGCGGCGCAAGTCAAGGGTGAACAGGCGGAGAGAGAGAGCAAAGCGGGCATGGTAGTTGGCATGGACAAGAGGGAGGAGAAGGTCAAGGAAATGAGCAAGCAGGGTTTCCTAGATATGATTACTGGAGGGCAGAAAAAGGAGGGCAGCGTGGAGGCTTGAAGACACTTCAGTATGCATAGTTCGGCGTTTGGGGACAAAAGAGACGTAGTTTCAGTGTGTTCATGATACCATATATTATACATAAATTCAGAGTCGTGCTCAACGCCAGTCCATCTGCAAGCGGAGTTCTCGTATAATACATGTCGTCTCAAATGCTGAGTATGCGATGCGATCCCTAGACGCTGCCAATATGGCCGTGTGCAGTGTCGTTCCTTGATGTATTCTCACCACTACTACATCCCTCTCTCGATACCACATGTTGATCTTCTTCAGTTGACTCATTTGCTGTCGAAATCGCTAGCCTGCAGGTTCCTCGTCATGCTCGGTAATCGCACGACCAAGCCATCAAGCTCTTTACTCATCTTGACCTGGCACCCCAGGCGACTGGTCTCAGTCAGACCAAACGCCAAATCTAACATGTCGTTCTCATCGTCATCTGGCTCCTCCATCTTGTCGTAGTAAGCTTCGTCTGCTACTATGACATGGCACGTTGAGCAGGCGCAGGATCCGCCACACGCGCCTTCCATCTCTATGTCGTTGGCTTGGGCGATGTCGAGAAGGTTGTCGCCGTCGGCTACCTCGAATGTCGTGACGTGGCCATCTTTGTCTATAAAGGTTACCTTGCGTCTGAAAGGCGTCAGTCATCTTGTGTTGCTATGATTGGGTGCATTAGACGCACTCTTCACCCGGTCGGGGTGGGTCTAGGTGACCGTGGCGGGATGTGGGAGACGAGGAGAATTGGCGGCGGTTACTGAGCCATGACGGGCTTGTTGCTTTGATGACACTCGATTTTGATAGAAGGGACGATGCCATCATTGGTGTGTGTAGAGACTTCTGACATGCCGATGCCGTCCAATTGCTGGCGAACCTCTGAGGACTCGACGATGCACCTCTTGCGCCCGCTATCCTCCCCTCCAAAGCGCTCAAACAAGCTCTTCTAACAGCCATGGCGGGAGTGAAAGCCTGCGAATTGTCTGAAATTGGTAAGGGAAAGGAGAAGGGTGTGCAGAAGCGAAAGACTCGCAGTGTTTGCAGTGTTACCAAGAATCAACGCGCAATAATTCCGAATGCTGTGAGACGTCAGAAATGTTGATGCACAGACCAGGCATGACCCCGGTCGATCTTCACAGCGCATCCACCACCGCGGGTAAGAAAACGATAAACATCCCCAGCCTCACGTAATCTTTCCCCGAGAAACGAGAGATACAATGGCGACCTCTCGTGATGCTCCGAACCCCCTAAGGCCCTACTATATCCCGCCATCTATTGGGCCCCCTCCCGATGTTCCGCAGAACCAGACAAGCTCGTCATTACCGCCCGCTTTGAAGCCCAGTGCCAGTAGTAAATCAAGTCTCGGCAGTCAGGCACGCGACATTCTGTCCGATCTCGACTATGACTCGTACTTTCCAGAGACGTCGCCTTCAGTAGCTGGGCATGCAAAGAAGCTGCTCGACCATGCCTTGTGGAATTACACAAGCGTCCTGTTAGCCCAACCATTCGAGGTTGCGAAGACGATATTGCAGATACATGAGGCAAAGGGACAACTAGCAGGCTTGGAGGGAGATGTGCTTGGCCACAAGAGCAGGCCTCAGAGCTTCGCGAGCGGAAAGTTTGAGGATGTATGTATCAGACACTGGGCGGGGTCTGACACGTGAATGTGGGCTAATGAACGCAGTATCCGCCCTCAGACGAGGAGTCGGACGAGGACTCGCCGTCATACTTCACATCTACTGCACCGCGTATGAACCCCACCTCACCCTCGCCATACTCCCCTTCCGTCGAACAATCGAGGTCCCCACGGAGGCGCCAGAGACGTCTCGATAGCCGGTCACGGTCACGAACACCCACACGACCCCCACCATCCGCCATACGCAAACTAGACCTCAAACGACCAGACTCGCTTCTTGAAGTGATAGCACAGCTATGGCAGAAGGAGTCGGCGTGGGGGGTGTGGAAGGCTACAAACTGCACTTTCATCTACAATTTCCTGCTTAAGACGACTGAGGGATGGTTCAGGAGTCTGATCTCGGCCCTGCTGAACATACCAGACCCAGGCCTGGTAGGATCAGCAGGAAGCGGCATAGGAGGTTTGGATATACTGGATAGCCCAAGCCCACTGACCTCACTCGGGGTTGCTGTCGCAGCTACGGCCATCGCGGCCACCCTCCTCGCACCCCTCGATATGGTGCGCACCCGCCTCATCATCACACCCATATCCTCTTCCCCACGTTCTATATACCCTTGCCTCTCCCTTCTTCCCTCCTTCTCTGTCTCACCCAGCCTCCTTCCGGCTACCATAATGCACGCATGTGTGCCCACACTTATCTCCTCCTCGACACCTCTCTTCCTCCGCTCGACACTGAGCATCGACCCGATCCTCACGCCTACCACCTACTCCTTCAGCACATTTCTCTCCTCCACAACTGAGCTATTCGTCCGCCTGCCTCTTGAAACCGTTCTCCGGCGCGGCCAGGTCGCTGCCCTGCAGGACCACGAAACCCAGCGTCTAGCTTCTGAGTACCAGATACCTCCTAGCCGGGCTAAAAGCCCGGCCTATGGTCTGGATAAGCCGAGCTCCGATCAGAGCTTCAAGACGATCGTGGACCCAGGTCAATATAGGGGTGTTCTGGGTACTATGTGGTTCATCGCTCGCGAGGAAGGCATCTCAGTTCAGACCGCAAATGCTGCCAAGGCCGCGAGTGCAAAGGCAATGGGCTTCTCAAGGCCGCCGCGCACAAGGAAGGGTCAGGGCGTGCATGGTCTATGGAGAGGATGGAGGGTGGGTGTTTGGGGTTTGGTGGGCATCTGGGGCGCTGCCGCCCTTGGAGGTGGCGGCGGTGAATTCTAGGTCGAGACTAGAAGGAGGCATAAGGCATGACAGCGTCGTTGTTGCTCATTAGATCATGTTGTTTTGTCACGATTTTCATATGCGTATGTTAGGCGATGCTATATACACCACCACTCTTAGCTGTCATTGAGAAGTACACGTTTCGTATTTTGGTTTCTCTATTCTTCTGGGTTGTCCGATCTTGACACCTACTCAATAAAGTACCTTATTGTAGCATGCCTTCGGATCACACAGCAGTCAATATTACTTACACAGCAACAAAACCTTCCTAGAACATGTTGACGACTCTGAGCATTTGAGAAGTATCTGTCAACAGATGTGATGCCTATATCCCCGTTTCAACTTGGATCTGGCTCCATGGGGGGAAGTGTGTATCAGTTTGTCTTGCCTCCCAATGCTGTTGGTGTTGTATAAACTAGCCAGATACAGCCTAGTGGTATCCTTACATAGAAGTCACGAACTACATTTGACACAACTCTTCACCAACCACCAGCTTGCCTTCACAAGAATCGTTGTCGGTTTACTAGATGCAGATCCGTTGTTCGTTCTCATCTCAAGTGATTGTGCGACTGTACCAACGCCTCCCCCTTTTTCAGTCGGCCTGAGGTACAGTGGATCGACTCCATCTCACAGCCCGATATGAATGAGACGCCTGATGTGGCACAGCGTATGGCTCGCCGGCACAGTTCTTTTTTGGTTTCCATGAATCAAACGCTCAAGCTAAATGAAAGCGGGAGCTCGCATTCGGCACTTGGTTCCGAAAAACTTATACGCTGAGACAGCATACCACACTACAGGTAGTTCCCCTTGTCATCGGCATGAACCTCGTTACATGTCACCACTAGCGTCGAATCTACCCGCTGTCTCCACTCCGGTCTGTCTGGTTGCTAGTCAAGGCTTGCTTGATCCAACTTTGCCAGCCAGCGCCTTCACCCAACATGCAGTGAATTTCTAATTACAAAGGATCACTTGCTGCGGCCGACAATCAACCTTTCGGCGTCTACTTCAAAGGTGTACTGAGAGATGACTTGCAGCATGATAAAGCTGTCACATGTTTGTCAGTATATCTAGCATCCACTCTCTGAACAGTCGGCCATGGCAAGGCTCGCGCGTAGACTACAATGCCATAGCGAGCTCCACTGGCGGGTCCGACACACTGGCAACGACGGCGGTCGCGCAAACTTTCGTACTGAATGCTAGTCTCGGGTTCAGTGGACCTGATGTTGTCAGACAGCGGCCCGTCCGTTATAACCACCGGTTCTCTATACACAGTCCGTGCACCCCGAACGTCGAATCACAACCATGGAAATTCACTTTCTAGCACATATTAGGGAAGACAAGGCGTCAAAAGTTTCTAAACGAAACAGCGCTACGTCCGTCAAGCCCATAACAAGGACACCAGCGTTTCGCCACTTCGTGAACTGGAACGGAATGTTAGTAGACGACCTTGGCAGGACCCGAAGAAATCACTACCGCATTGACTTTGATTTACCAAACAAGCAGTTTCCTTGCCTCCTGAGATGATTCGAACGTTTTCACAAGTGCTGCTATGCTCAGAACGGTCTAAGGGATAAGGCCATGCCCACTTCCCAAGGAATCCAGAACGCCTACGATCACGGAAGGAAGACTGGTGTTGTCGACAGAACCTGCATTGCTATCTCCTGTGTTACCTTCTATGGGAAATTAATGTCCGATCGTACCAGGTCGCCGGTACCTAGGCGCTGGTAGCATGAAGTTGTTTCGAATCGTGGGCTCATAATTCTGATATAAGAATCAAGACGACGTCCAACATTTACAACTCACCAGCAAGCAATACATTCGTTTCATTCGCTTTCTACATTCGCTTCTTCAGCTTTTACATTCGTTCATCAACACTCTTTTTTATCAAATATACAAGTTTCATTACTGCTAGCCAGAATGAAGTTCAACGCCCTCGTCCTCAGCGCCGTCGCCCAAGTGGCTTCCGCCCATTACTTTTTCGACACCAACATTGTTGGCGGTGTTGCGCAGCCCCAGTTCAAATACGTCCGCGAGTCGTCCCGTGTCACCAAGTACAACCCCATCAAGTTCTCCTCCAACCCAGCTGCCGATATCCGTGATGGATCCACCGCCGATGGCCCCGATATTGTTTGCAACCAGGGTGCCCAAAAGGCCGGCAAGACTCAGGTCATGACCGTCAACGCTGGCGAGGAGATCCGCCTCAAGTTGGCTGTTGGAGCCAAGTTCCAGCACCCTGGCCCTGCCCTGGTCTACATGTCCAAGGCTCCCAGCACTGTGACTTCATACGATGGATCTGGTGACTGGTTCAAGATCTTCGAGGAGGGTGTCTGCGGCAACGGTGACTTCACCAGCGACGCCTGGTGCACCTACAACCGTGACTGGGTCGCGGCCAAGATCCCCAAGGACACTCCCAACGGCGAGTACCTCGTCCGCGTTGAGCACATTGGTGTCCACCGCTCCCACGTCAACCAGCCTGAGCACTACGTCTCCTGCATGCAGGTCAAGGTTCAGGGTGGCGGTAGCGGTACCCCTGGCCCCATGGTCAAGTTCCCCGGTGCCTACAAGGCCACCGACCCTTACGCCAACTTCAGCATCTACAACGGCAAGAAGGACTTCCCCATGCCCGGCCCCAAGGTCTGGGCCGGTGGTGCTAGCAGCTCCGGTGGTGCCACCACTCCCGCCAAGGAGGTGGCTACCTCTGCCGCCCCTGCTGCCCCTGCTAAGACTACCATGGCCACTGTTGTTGCCCCTGCCCCTGCCGCACCCACCAAGGCTGCTGGCGGTGCTGGCTGCGCTGCCCTCTACGGACAGTGCGGTGGAAAGGGCTTCTCCGGTGCCAAGTGCTGCTCTGCTGGTACCTGCAAGGCTGCCAACGACTGGTACTCTCAGTGCGTCAACTAAGCTTGTTCGCTAGGACTTGGTCGAAAATCTGTGTATATTTTTCATTCTTTGTGTCTAGAAGCGAGGCGTTGCATCAGCATAGCATTGTTTTCTCAGGCGCTGTTCTCATAGTGGAACACCTTTTACCCTTCTGTTTGCCTGGTGGATGCGGTGCGAGCCTGTATCATAGCAATAAATCGTAACTTATCATCAGACCTCCAAAACATTCAGTATTCATGTCGTGATCAACAAACCTCTAATTAAGGAAAAACTTTTTCGGCTCCCCCCAAACACTATTTGGCTCCTCTCAAAAGATCAGATGAAAGCAATCGGCCACATTGAGATCCAAGACCAGATGGGAGCAATTAAGTACTCAGAAATATTATTGGGTACCTAGAGATACCACCCCCAAATCATGAGATGGAAGCAATCCTTTACTAAGAATCTGCCCAATCGGGTGATAATATTTGATGGTGTTGGTGACCTTAGCTGTTTTCACCGCATTTTGGTGGCTCAGGGACCTTCTATCTCGTCTGGTTTCCTTTCATCTCATCTAATCTTTTTGGGGGGTGCCAAATAGGTTTTTCCCTAATTAAGAGTAGTTACATCAGTCTGTCAAAAGCTAGACATACTACATAGAGTGGCCCAGCCCTTCCGCGTACTCTTCCACAGTTCTTGGAATACCATGTGCCATCTCGACGCAGTCCAATATTTCTTCGCAAATGTCGGCTGGCAGTCGTTGGCTGAAAGCCAGGATGAGGTGGCGTCGATATGCGTGCCGCAAATCTCGCACCACGAGCGATAAAATCTTGTCTAGCACAGACCTGAGTTGATCAGGGACTATAGCACCTATATGTTTGTGTGAAGAGTCAATTGATTACTTATAGACGCGCACATTGGAAATCTTACCTCTTTGCTCGCGTTTGATGTAGGACGTCAAGGAGAGAAATGCGTGGGCACAGTCGAGCGGATGTTCAGGGTTCCAATCTTTCAGCTCCTGATCCAGCAAATCGAGAAGCAATGCATGTATTTCGTGGACACCCTTTCGCCACCATTCCAGTTTTAGCTTTTCGAATCTTAGGAAGTCCAAGCGAAACATCAAAGCGAGCTGGAAGGCTCGGGCTTTACCATATGGTATCTGGCTCATCCGCTTTAGTTCAAGGCATGTGCGGGAAGTGAAACGAGAGATGGGAATTGTGGCATTCGCTGCGAGGCTATAGCCTGTCAATGCTGCGAATCTGTAGTCCTTGTGATCTGAGTATCCAGAATCTGAGTCGCTGACGTCTGAAGTCAGGTCGAAGTTCTCGGAAAGATCGATGTCGGATTGGCGATGAGCTTCCACCAAGAAATCCATCTCAGCGTTCTTCTGGACGACGAGGATGTCATGAAGTTCATGAAACTCCACAGTACCACGAGAATTACTGATGTCAAGATTTGCGAATAGCATCTGAGAATCCAGGTAGAGAGCCCAGCTTTCCAATTGGAGTTGAGTCCATCTCGGCACGAAGGTCTCCTTTTTCAGTGTATTCTCTAGATGATAGCATAAGTAAAGACGCTGAATGATCCCTCAACTGCAATATTTCGAACTTACCCACCCTTGTTAGAGGAGATGCCTCCCAAAATCGTTCTCGTGCAACATCTCGGACTTTACCGGAAGCTCCTCCTTGATTGTGGAGTTCTCCAGAGAGGTTTTCCAGCTTGATGACGTGTTGTTGTATCATATCATCCATTCGACTTGTATCTAATAACCCAGCATCAACGGCGTATTACCATCTCGGGTCCTTCAAGCATTTTCGCCATCGAGTAAGGATTCCTGACTTGTCGCTATTGTCTCCAAACTCTTCACACATCCTCACCAGATGCTTCAACGTCCGTCTCTTTCGCTTCTTCCTCGTTTTCCGCTGGACTCACGTCCATCAATCTCGTTTTGCTTCACGTTCGGCGTGCTGGTAACTTCGGTTCCATCGTCCTCTCCATTTTGAGTCGCAACTCGTACAGGCGGCCATGTTTGAACATTGCTCGTACTTCTAGATAATATAGCGTTTTCGAGCTCACACCTCGACATTGATTTCGGAGTAGCAACCCCTGTAGGTTTACATTGCGATACGTGTCGATTGGAAACAGGGACTTTTACGTGAGCTTGAAAACACTTTATTGGAATCGAACCGTATTTATTCTTGATAGAACAGACGCAATAAATGGCAGACGAGGCCAGCTGTCAGCTGAAGAGACATGTAAAGTACGATTGCCGTGCCGCAGAGATTGGCGCACGCTAGCTACAAATAATAATCCCTTGGTGAATTCCATGGCGTTTCGCGGACGGCAAATATCGATATTGCGAGAATGCCTATATGTGACACTACGCTTCTTTTTGCTTGTATCTTCGTAAAGAACGACACGCTTGGACCGCGGAAGTTATAGTCCGCAAGCTCTGGAAGGTTTGCAGGAGCTGTGCTTCGAGCGCGTGACGTCATCGCGACGCGTCCACGGGTCCGTCTCGGATGAGGCCCTACTACAAATCACTCACCAGGTAGATACAGGAGTTCTGGCACACTCAGACTCGAAACGCATAGATTGCTGGTCTACTCTGCGCGATTGGCACATTCCAATCGAAGGTGCTACTGGGGAGGCATACACACAGTTTTCTCTACAAAGATGCCTAGGTAATGCACAGAACATACTATGCTAAACGTGCGAGTACAAAATCAGATGTTTTTCATGATCAGTTCGTAAAATGGATAGTTATATAGGTGTCGAACCGTATGAGCATTAATGTAGCTCATATAACAGCATTGTTTGTATGCAAGCGTCCAACTAGCGGCTTGCAACTTGTTACATCGAAGGTGTTTCTCAAGAAGGATGTCGTTTGAATCCAGGGTGCTAGTCGTTTGGTGAGACTGTAGCCGTCTATTGTTGCTTTGCCTTCAGTTCGGAAGCGACTTATCCGACTATAGCGCGGAGGATCTGTGTCTTTTGGGGCGCTGATAACCATTTAATTTACTCGGCAATATATCTTGCCGCCTTTAGAACCAGGCTAACGCTACGCGAAGGATGAAACGATGATAAGCAGCCGAGTATGGCAGATCATTCGTGAGGTTGGATGGATATGGAAATGGAGATTTTAACAGCGTAGCATTTGCAGATGGCTGGTACGCTGGGTCCGCAGAAGCGGGGCAACTCTACGCGGTAGCGCTTACTCTTGTCTCATCTTACCATTAGATATATGACGCCTACTTTGCGACATCTCATGTCATCAATCACAGCTCTATTTCGTGACCCATTACACCCAACATGACAGGCTCAAGCGAAGCAACGGAGTCGCATACCCTCTTCACGATTCCACATGTCGCGGCTGCAATTATCACCTACTGGATCGTGGCGACCACCTACAACCTGATCACATCGCCAACACCGCCATCAAGTATACCATGGATGGGCTACGGGAAGGGCTGGATCGCTGACTTCCGCAATTTCACTGCGTTGACTAAGAGCAAGGAATGGCTGTTGGCCGGTTACGACAAGTATAGTCGCAATGACAAGGTCTTTGTGTTACCACCAACGCTTGGCATGGCAGCTGAGATTGTAATTCCGCGAAGTCAAATGGGCTGGATGTTTGACCAACCGGATACTGTACTGAGTACAAGTGAAGCGCATTACGACTTCCTCCAGGGCGATTACTCATTCGTCAAGCCGATCATACTGAAGGATCCCTACCATGAACATGTAATTCACAAGAACCTTGTACGCAATCTCAATGCGATCCTCCCGGAGCTTGAAGAAGAGGTACCCCACGCTATTTCCGAAGTGTATGGAACGGATACAGATAGTTGGAAAAAGCTGGATGTTATGGATTCTTTCATGAAGATGATTCCAGTCCTGACCAACCGCATGCTTCTTGGCGGTTCTCTCTGTCGCGAGCGCAAATTCCTGGATGCGGTACTGGGTTTTACTGTGGACTGTATACGTACCCAGAGCCTTATGCAACTTTTCCCGAAAGCGCTGCACCCAGTGATTGGGACGTTGTTGAGTCTGACTACAAAGTACCACTACTGGCTGTCATCGAGATTCACACTACCCATGATCAAGCAGCGTATCTCAGATATCGAGAAAAAGGATGCTGGCGACCCCGAGTACAAGAACTGGAAAGAGCCGAATGACTTCATCAATTGGAGCTATCGGACTGCGCAAGCTGAGGGACGACGCGACGAAATGCAGCCAGATCGTATCGCTCAGCGCATCATGCCCATCAATTTTGCCAGTATACATACAACCTCTCTCACGGCTTATGAGACTATGGTCAACATCATGAGTGCCGGGCCAGAAGTGGTCAAGCAGTTGCGCGAAGAAGCGCATCGCATTCTGCAAGAAGAGGGAGGTTGGACCAAGCAGGGTCTGAGTCGCATGCATCGTATCGACTCTGCTATCCGCGAGTCACAACGCGTCGCACCTATTGCACTTACGTTCGTTCATCGTAAAGTAGTAGCGAAAGAAGGGGTTACAACACCCGAGGGCGTACATGTCAAGTATGGAACGCTTCTCTCATGTCCATGGACGCCGCTGGCTGGTGATACAGACATACACGAAAAGCCAGAGGAATTTGATGCATTCAGATACTCGAGACCTAGGGAAGAGTATGAGGCGATGGATGCGGAAGAAAGAAAGAAGATCGATGCGTTGAAACTGAAGCAAACAGGTCTTGTCACTACAGGAGTGCATCACCTTCCTTTCGGTCATGGGCGTCATGCTTGGTGAGTTAATTTACTTTTTTCATCCAGGCCTTTGCTGACAACATCGCAGTCCGGGACGCTTCTTTGTTTCCCACGAACTGAAGATGATTTTCGCCGACTTGCTACTCAACTACGACATCAAGCCGCTTGCGGAGAAGCCCAAGAAGATATGGGTGATTAGATTCCAGGTCCCAATGCCAGCAACAATTGAGGTCCGACGTCGGAAGAGTGTATGGAAACCAGAGGCCGCCTCGTGATTTGCGTAACAAAAATGTATGATATAATATATACATGGGTACCATGACTGCGCGGGACTATCGCACTAGTGCTAGCTTTCTTCTTACCTTCCTCACTTTGCCAAAGCTGTTCACGCATCGGCCGAAGATAGCCACATACCCAGTTCAACACCCAACTGCCCAGGCTGATCGTACATGATGAGATGTCCGGCTCCGTCAACCTCTACTACCTCCTTCGCACTCAACACCTCACCAAGCCTATGTGCATCTTTCACAGGAATCCAATTGTCCTGCTTGCCCCAAATGACTTTCACGGACATGTTCTCCCCCACCTCTGCGTACCGTCCCTCAACCTCTTCCGTACTCCGGTGAGCAGCTTGGCATAGTTGGCGGACGAACCCTCCCTTGCCACCTTCTGCCAGCCATGGTGACTTGAGCATGCTCATTGTCTTCTCATCCAGCTTAGTATACGCAGCGTTCCTGATATACGATTCGAGGATACCTTCAAACGACATATCAGGTAAACTCTCGATAGCCCCCGGGTTCTCTGCAACGCCTTTGAACAAAGGCTGGCCAAAGGGACCGATAGCGACAACGTCTATGAGGCAAAGACTCTTATATTGACATCCATGAAGCAAATAGGCACGAAGACTCATTAACCCGCCATGATCGTGAGCGACAACGTGGGGTTTCGACTTCCATCTTTCTGTGGTCTGCCAATGCTTAAAGAGAGCGGCGAAGGCTGAAGTTTGGCGAGCGAGATCACTGTCTAGTCTCTCCACTTCGTTTTTTGGTTTGAAATCGCCATTGGGTAGAAGCTGCTCGATTGGTGAATCTCCGAAACCAGGGTTGTCGAAGAGGTACACCCTGTACTTGTGGGATAGAGCCAGAGCGAAGGGTACCCAAATGCGGGAAGACCAGGGAGTGCCATGTATAAAGATGAGTGGCGGCGAGGTCAGAGAGCCGAGCGATGTCCATCTGATACTAAAGGAATGCGTCGGGGATTTGAAGTCGAACGTTTTGCTCAGGGTAGTTGGGTCGCTGGTTGGTGGAGACATGCTTATAGTAGATGTACACGTTGTAGAGGAAGGCTTGCGAGAATTTTTGCCCGGTATCATGCACTTTGCTGGTTGTTTCGCTATCTTGTTTCTGGGTGCGACTCAGCTTATATGCTTCTGATGTACCTTATGAGGCTGTCGCTGGCTATTGTTGTTCTGCCCCGTCTATGATGCGTGGTAGCCTGTGTATCTTCGCAGGGTTCCAGTACCTATCAATGGGCATTTATCATACGTCGCTTCCACAGCAACAGCATTGCTGTCGGTCAGCAAGAGACGCGGATCGACGTATTGTCATGCAAGCATGTCTCCGAAGTGGCCAATCAGAGCATCCGCTTATCGGGAACACGATGACTTGAATGCCTCAACGAGGCGTGCTCAATCTCTGTGTCACTTACACGCTTAGGCGGCGTTGTCGCATCAGGTCGTGCTTTCGGCGGCCGCCCTCTGCGTTTCACAGCCGGTGCGGCGATGCCACCTTCCCGCAGCTTCGTCTTTCCTCGACCAGCCTGGCTTTTAACATCCGGATTCTTTTCCAGATAATCTTCGATTGCCTCAAAAATAATAGGGCAATGTCCAGACACGTCCATGTGGCGCCTTGGTATCAAAAACTTGACAAGATAAGTATCCGGTACTTGGTCGAGTCGCTTCCCTTCATGTTTACCAAATGTGAGCTTGTAGTCAGAAAGTGGCGGCGGTCCCGCCGCATACCACTTTTCCAAGATACCGACGTCCTGATATCTAGTCGGATCGTATCTGGAGAATGTGTCCTCGGCGCCCAGGGCTTCCAGGTTTTTCGCTCTTTCCGCCGTGTTCTTTCGAAAAGTTTCCCAGAAACAATCGGGTTTGTTGGGCTCATCACGACAGCAGACGAAGGGCCTGAGGGATGGATCCGTGGACTGTTCTCTCCAAGCATATTCTATCTCTTCCTCATCGGAACTGAATGCAATCTGTTTATGAGCGCGAACGCTCCGAAAGTCATGTCGCGACGGTACACTGGGCCCCGGAAATTCGACCGATCTGCGACAAAGAGAAAAAGTGATGCGGAGAGGCGTAGCTACGTGCGCAATAATGCGGTGCTTGCACGCTTGCCTGTACATGATGATTACATGCCACTCGATGCCTCAATGGAATTCGACAATAGGTGAGCGTCAGGCCGCCAGCGGAAAGTCCTCCATAATTTTGCGGGCGGGCACGGGCGGCATGTTTGTTCGCTTCGATAGCCAACTATCTGGTGCAAGCTCCAAGTTTCTCAGCTTGATCGAATAGATGTACATCCGGGCGGGGTTGGTAAGGATCTGGATATGACAAAACTATGAATGCATTATGAATTTATTATACATATTACTGTTTCCAGTATTGCGCACCTAGCTCGTCTCCGAGCTTCACATCATCACCCTCGACAATGATCTTCTTAACCACGACTCCCACAACATCCCATTTACTGTTGGTGTCGATAGGCAGACCTGAGTCCCTGCGTTTACCCGCAGCGTCTTCGTTGCCAACTTCGCGCACGACTTCCCAGTTGTTGTTACCAATGTCGACAAGCCTAGCACGCTTGTAGCTTGCGTTGGAGACCTGACGTTGTGCGACCACAAAGCCAGCCTCGTCTTGCTCCTTGATCCACTTCCTGGCTTCTTCATCTTGCCATACTTTCTGGAGTGCTGCGTCGGCATCCTTGAGCAGCCTCACACTCTGTTCCTCTGCCTCGATGGTGCCAGCCTCGGTGCCCTTGTCAAGTGGTTTCTGGAGCAGATGCGTACCACCGAAGCTCTCGACGAAGTGTCCGTCTTCCGCGTTGAAGAAAATGACATCCTTGTACCTAGGTATCTTAGTATCTTGCACACAAGTACCATGTGTGTATTCTGGCGTACCATCGCGTGCCGATGTCGTCGTAGTCGCGGTCTTCGAGGGCTTTGGACGTGTACTTTGACGTCTTGGAGACGAGCTGTCCACAGGGGACCTTCTCGGCAGGGAGGGGTTGGGGTAGGATTGCGAGCTCAGGAATGATGGAGGGCGACAGTGGGCCGTCGAGGTAGCTGGGTCGACGAGAGTACTTTGCTGCCATGGTGAGGAGCTGTAGCTAGAGCTGTAGTAGTAACGAGAGGGTAAGTAGAGTACAATTGGCTTATGACGGTCTTCAAAGCAGGCTATAGAGCTATACTCAGGTGCGGAGATGCTCTCGTGAGGGGTCAGCAAGCTTTATGTGATATCATTGTACCACAGCTCTGGTAGGTAGACAACCCCGCTCGCCATGGCTACAATCTTCTCAGGTCACGCTCATGCTACGGTACCTGTTTTTGGCAACCCAGATATCATACCAAAGATTATGCGACGCGTACCTGCGACAGAATGAGTGGTGTGACGGATCAGGTGGCCATGATGAGGTCGGAGGCATGGCGTGTTGTTGTACCTGGCTACTCGCTTCCAAGTGGATCCGGAAGGACGCGGCCGACTCTTCCCGGCTCGTCTTCGTCGCATAGACACGTACTGGCCTGTCAAGCAGCCTCGACATCATCACCGTCACCACCACCCGAACTTATGAAGCAAACAATTGATGAGGAGGGTTTGTATTCCTTGAGCAGAGTGCGCATGCCCTCCGGCGCCACTATTTACAACTTCTGGCGACCCCTATGGTAATCAGCCACGCATCATTCCAACCAGACTACAAGACTCACGGCTTCATCGCCATGGCCTTTGCGAACATCTCGTTCACTGGCAAGCCCTTTGCGCTGAGACTCTGATCAAGATTGATATCTGGGTCAGATTTACCCATAGCTCGCCTGTACGCTTCGCGCTCACCAATGCGGCCCAGCCACGCCAAGATTCCAGGATACTCACTCAAATCCATCGGCTCGAAGGTTCGCATCGTTGTGAAGCACCATCCCGTCATGCACTCTGCGGCAGTGAACTCATCGCCTGCAAGCCACTTGTTGTTTTGTAGTCGGTTGTCGATATGGCTCAGCGCCTTGAGGACACGGGCATCGTTTCCCTTGAAACGCAGATCATCTTCGCCGACCATACCACGCGCCATAGCCCTTCTGAACATTCCAGGCTGTAACGTGCCATTCGCGAAATGAAGCCAGTAAAGGTAGTCTGCAAAGTTCTTGTCTTGTGGTGCCAGGGCCAATCGTCCGTTGCCGTACTTATGGATAATGTAATCGCAGATGGCCCCAGATTCGGCGAGTTTGATGGGGTTGGACGGATCGGTCAGATCCTCCAGGACGGGTGAAGCACCGAGAGGGTAAACAGCTTGGAGCTCGGGTGGTGAGAGAAGAGGTGATCGCTGATATAGCTTCAACTCGTAAGGAATATTGAGCTCCTCAAGGAGCCATGGGATGCGCTCGCCTTGGCCGAACTGCAGATGGTGGACAATAAGCTTTGGGGATGACATTTTTGGATTGATAGTAAAATGGTAGATTGTATGGGACCTTGAAGAGTTGGATGTCTTGAATTGTTCTTGTATTGCAAATGTACTTGGCTTCTCGGTGTTTCGGTTACTCGGTGATCGACAGATCCGGAAGATAGTGTACGTAGTGTAGGTAAAAAGCTCCGCTGACTATGATTCGGCGACTTGCGGCTCAAGAAGTGGAGGTAGTGGGGTTACGGACTCCATTCTGCTTCGTAAACTTCGATTCTTATGTTCGTCCAGATTCCAGGCACCCACGATCTGTGTTGTCGATGTCTTCGCCCTGTACTCCCAGATTGGCAGACTACTCGAATGCTGACAATTCCAGTCACGTGTCGTTCGGCCGAACCTAGTCAGTACCCAACGCCGATTCGCCAGGTACGACTCGCCAGAGAATTCTGATACGTCAGAGTGGACTTTGCGGATGGATCGCATGATACATATGCCGTGCTTACAGGCTTGTAAAGACTAGACCGCTGCTACCTCCAAGATACCAGGCATCTAGTGGTTGCTGGTAGTAAATAGACATCAACTTTTTGGCTACCCTACTGATTCTGTCCCGAGACTACTATGCAACAGGTAAGAATGAGCTGCAGACTACATGTTCAGCTACAAGATCACGTCTTCTGGAATGCGCGCATCCTCCGAAAGCGTCCCCCACTCATCGTATGCCTCCCCAAGCCGCTCTTTCCATTCCTTGTCATTCTTCCTCCGACGCTGGCCGACAACATGCACAATCGCATGCTCCTTCTCATGGGCCATTGTGATACACTATCAAAACAGAAGCCACGGACTCACAGCGAGCTATCGCTACTATCTCTAGAACCTCGACTTGACTTGGATCAATCTAGAGTGCCTAGAATTGTGTCAATTTTGGGAAATACCATACCCATGCACCGGTGAAAACGTTTAAGAGGCTTCTGCATGTATGAGATGGAATTCGAACTTGTACCCCTTCGTGGTCTTGTTCACCAAATCCTTGAGCGACTCACAATGAGAGCAAGGTTTTCGACTGACAGATATTTCTATCACCTCCGGCACGACGTACGAATCGACTGGTCGTTTACTCCTGAACTGATCCAAAGTGAGGTGGCTGATCTCTCGAAAATGGCAAACACACAAGGCCATGAGTTGTGGTTCAGTATGTTGGAACCAAGTCTTGCCATATGTTGATCCCAACACCTTGAACAGGTCGTGTGCTTGTGCAACCCAACGTGAAGAATCTATGAAACCTTCTTCAGGAAGCTTTCCATTTCTTGCAAGGTGACTGCCGTTCATTTGCATGTATGCGATAGTCGGTCTGCTGTGCACAAGCTCGCGAGTACCATATCGCGGACGCGGCTTGTAATGAAACGTTCTTATCATCTCAATTTGCGTATCGAGTGTACCATCTTTGAGCTCAGTTACCCGAAACTGCAAATTCTTGTTGTTTCTTCGTTGGGCTGGAGTTTCTGTCTGCCGCTTTGCCAAAATCAATTTCTCTTCGGCATCCGATAATTGATTTTCTAGTTGTTCGCATATCTGCTTGGTATATTCCAGTTCGAATTGCTGTGCACGAAACTTGTCTTCTTTCGTCGAAATTGTGTCAAGCAAGTCCTCGGTCTCATTATGGGCTTGAGATAGTCTCGCTTCCAGCTGAACAATGGAACTTGCTTCACCATTGGTCCTTACATCCGAATGCGCTGACATATGTTCGGGGTAGGCGGACGTAGATGCGATGCTTCCATCATCAATTCCGGCTAATAGTTCTATGACGCGCCTCCGACGTTCATGATCAAAGAGCCGCCCTTGATCTTCACCACTACTGTGTCTTCTCCTTCTTTCAGCTCCTAAAATCGCATTTGTACCGGCCAAATCCATGGCTGTGAGACCCAGGTTGTCTCTCAGGTTCACGTCCGCTGGACTACCTTGTTCCGGGTTCAGGAGAACCTCCACCGCTGCGAGTCCTCCCAATAGCGACGCTTCCATTAATGCCGTTCGACCTTCCTGGTTCTTGGTGTTGATATCGGCACCTGCTGCGAGCAAGGTTGTAATTATCGCCTTGCAGCTTTTACGTCCATGAGCCACGGCGGAAGCAACTATCAAAGCAGTGTTACCGTCCCTATCTCTAGCATTGACAAATCGCGAAACGTCTCTGGGTCTCAAATTTTGCAATTCTGACTGGAAATTGAGCAGAATTCCGTCCTTGCATGCTTGCCAGATATCGCTTCTCCAGATTTCCGTCGGATGTCTCTGCACGGTCTCGTGGAGGAATTGGCTTTTTGGTGTGCTTTTCAGATTCAGTCGGGAGATACCCGCCGTGAGATCCTTCCAAATGTCGGTAGTGGCCATGACTCTAGTATTCGAAAGTGTTTGCTAGGAAATGGCCTCATCAACGTTCCTCGCACTTTCTGAGTCAAAGCAAACAAGGCTTCAGCCTTGGTTACTCTCAACGACGAGCAGTCACGTCAACCAGCAGGATGCAACAAATGCATGTCAGCATATACGTAGCCATACAGCTAGTCCCCTGTTGGCATTCCGCACTTCGCAATTCGCAATTCTACCAGGATGTCAAATGCAGGTGTGGTTCACCGGTTGATGGCTGATTTGACTCGACCACGCTGCCGACTTTCACTTGCATTGTAGGATTCGTACGCATACCTGCAACGTGGACGAATTGCAAAAGAAACTTTCTTGGCTCTCGTATATGAATGATGTGACATGGAAGGCTGTCGCTTTCATAGGGGCCCACCGTAGGCAGGTGTTCATCACTAGCGCCCGAGTGGCGATTGAAGCCCCACCAACGCGTCGGTTCAATCGCGCATCAACTGCTGCAGGGTAACCACCTCTCACATCAAGTTTCCAACACCATGACGCGGGGAAAGCTCATAGTTTTCGAAGGCCTAGATCGGGCAGGCAAATCGACTCAATGCCAAATGCTTGCTGATGATTTGCAGAATGACGGGATCAAGGTGCGGCATGTGCGGTTTCCAGGTATGTGCGCGCAGATTGAAGGCCGTCAAAGGCTGTGCGATTGGATATACGGATTGAAGAGCCGAAGACTAATCACTTGAGCAGATAGAACGACACCAATCGGCCAAATGATCAACAGCTACTTGAGTGGTCAGAGCGAGCAAGACGACCATGTCATACATCTCTTGTTTTCCGCGAATCGGTGGGAAGCAGTGTAAGTCGTCCCATGCTCAACTCCACGCAGACAAGGTTTTCTCAACGTGCATTGCAGACCTTCTATACAAGCCGACCTCGAAGCTGGTACAACGATAATCGTAGATCGTTACTACTACAGCGGCTGCGTGTACTCTGCTGCCAAAGAGAACCCCAGCATGAGCCTCGAATGGTGTCGAAAACCCGAAGTAGGACTTCCACGGCCTGACTTGTGTCTCTTCCTTGACATTTCCGCCGAAGACGCAGCAAAGCGAGGCGGATATGGCACTGAGAAGTATGAGAAGAAGGAGATGCAGGACCGCGTACGAGGGCTGTTTGAGACAATGATGCAGAAAAAGGAGGGCGAGGACTTTGTGCGCATCGATGCGGGTGAGGATATGAAGGATGTGGCGGCAAAGATCAGACAAGAAGTCGATAGGTGTATTGAGCGGGTCGCCAAAGGCCAAATGCCGTTGAGGACTGTGGAGGAGTGGTAAATGCTCTCAACTGGCGTTGGAGCCTTACGGCTTATCCTCATCGTCATTGACATTCTCGACCCACGTTTCATCAAGGTCCTCTTCGAGGTTGACATCAAGGTCATCTATATCCGGAAACTCTTCCGCATCGTCCTCGATGGTTCCGTCCGACTTTCTTTTCTTTCTTTTTGTCTTGAACATGACCTTCAGCTCTTCTTCACCATGCATGCGCAGACTGAGCTCCTTCATCAAGTCAGACCATCTCAGAGAGCTGCGACAGCTCGGACATGTCCCTTGGATTGGGATAAACGCATCAATGTTGCTCTCTTCTGCCAGAAATTTCCGCGACATGCAGGCCATGTGTGACACAGCGTGACACGTCTCCACTGGACAGACCAACACGAGTGATGTGTCAGGACTCACATCATCCTTGCAAACAGCACACACTCGCTTTTGATCGTCTCCGAGCATCATTTTTGACTTTTCGATATGTGTCTTGCAATCCTCATACGCAACAGGAATTGCTCGTATTATTTCCGGTATGAAGTGAGTTCGCATCTCGCTTTGCACGTCCGGCGCAAGCTTCGGAAGCTCGGCCGGCGTCACCCGGATAGTGATGTCCTTCCGCAGGGTCGTCTTCATCTTGGAAATATGCTTCTCCCATTGCGTAAACACATCCTGGGCAAAGAATCGGATATGCAACGGCCATCGGCTGAAGCTCCCGACACCCAACAGATGATGTAAATTCTTCAATCGCGCTTCTAGTGACATTGGTGGTCTCGGCCTCTTGACGGGCGAAGGATTCTTTCTCCCCTTTTGCAACTCCTCTAGCCTCGCGTCGCGCACATCTCGCTCAATGTGTCGTGTCGCGTGCGTGTTTTGCCACGCCCATTCAAACTGCAACGCAGCGAATCTGGAAGGAAACCCAGTAACAATGCACGTCATCTCCCACGGCCGCTTCCCTTGCATCGACGTACGCTTCGCGCCGCCCTTGCTCGAGCCATTGTGCTGACCCAGGCGGCGGGCCGGATTGGGTGTGCTGCCGATGTAGAAGGCTTTTCGGTTCTTGGAGCGGAGTAGATAACAACAGTAGAAGGCTGGGATGGGGCGGCTTTCGATCTTGAGAGAATCAGCCATGATTAGACTGGATAAAGATGAAGTCGATGTTGTTGTTGATCGCATCCAAAAGCGTGCAACGGCCAGTTAGGGCTGACGGGACGATGCAGATGGAGGCTGTCGTGATTGGTGGGCTGGTATGCTTCCCGGTACGACAACCTTGCTGCCGACCTCACCTGCAGGAGTTCAGGCTTGGGTATAGAATGAACACGAAAGTAAGAAATTGGCAAAAATGTAATGTGAATGCGCAATGCTGCTAATGTTACGTTCGCTGTTTCCAGATGCGGTGCGATGATGCAAGCACGTGGCGAGTTTAGCCTGACAGGCGTTCACGCTGAAAAGGAAGAAAAAGTAACCACGTATGGAAATATCTGAGTCAGGCTGATATATGTGCTTGTTATGCGAGCCAATGTGGTTCGTTGGTCGCCGAGATGGTAGACAGCGGCGCAAAAGAAAGTTGGTGAGGTGAGGTCGGCACATGGACAGCCTTGCGTGCAGTCGCCAGATCGGCATGATGTAGCTCTCATACCTGACTTTGACTGCAGTTGAAGACTGCATTTTGGTATTGCGCCCATGTAAGGTAAAAATTGAGTGGAAAAGTCTCGTTAAATTCTCGAGTCTCCCCTGGGACAGACTGAGTTGTTATTTACAATGTTTTTCCGCGTGCCCTGCTGAACAAGCGTTGACGTTCTGGGTTCGGTACCTTTGGCTCGATATGCATCCGCCGCTAGCGGGAATCTCGCACCTTTCAGCGGGCCCCATCCATCCTCTCCATATCTCCTCACCTCCACAACCGAATTGCACACCCGCCGCCTCTACCACGTCGTTCGCTCGCAGGCTGACGTACAACCGTACTAATATTTGGTTCTTGTAGAACTGCATCACGCGGTGTAAGCGGGTCGAGAGCGGTCGCCTGCCGCTATAGAGGCTCCATGCCTACGCCTATATCCCCTCGATAGTGCCCACGACCGACCGATTCACTCCCAATCACAGTCGCCATACCTACCATATCATCTCGTATTTCGTTACGAGGCTGCAACTAGGGCGGAAGTCGCGACAGCGCTGCATGCACGAGCAAGAGGGTCATGGTCGACTTCATGCCCCCCAGTGGGCCCTCGACAGGCGCCACTATGACTACCTTTCGAGTCGCTACGGACAGCGGAACGCCTGATGGAACAGCCAGTGCACCCAAGTCAAGAATGGGTGGTGCTGCGGTGCCTGCCATGAGTGGCGCGCAGCTGAACGGGGCTGGCACGATTCCCTTGAGCGCGCGTAAGGCAGCGCCGCTGGATCTCGCTACCGTAGAGCGCAGAGGACATGGGGCGCCGAATAACCTACCACCCAAGCAGAATCGTCTCTTTGGCTTGCGCGAGTCTCCAACATACCGACCGACAGCTGAGCAGTTCAAGGATCCTGTGCAATACATTCAGAGTATCCGAGAAGAGGCACAGAAGTATGGCATTGTCAAGATCGTGCCGCCTGATACCTGGAATCCGACGTTTGCCATCGACACAGAGCGCTTCCACTTCCGGACACGGCGACAAGAGCTCAACTCAGTCGAGGGCGGCACACGTGCTAATTTGAACTACCTTGATCAGCTCGCCAAATTCCACAAGCAACATGGCCACAGTCTCACTCGCTTTCCCAGTGTCGACAAGCGACCTTTGGATCTCTACAAGCTCAAGAAGGCCGTTGAAAAGAGAGGTGGTTTTGAACGTGTCTGCAAGCAGAAGAAGTGGGCTGAGATAGGACGCGACCTCGGCTATAGTGGCAAGATAATGTCTTCGCTGTCTACATCACTCAAAAATTCATATCAGAAGTGGCTGCACCCGTATGAGGAGTATCTGCGTCTAGTCAAGCCTGGTGTGCAACAGATGCTAGAGTACGAGCATGGCGGACCTTTCACACCATCGCCAGCCCACTCGCCCATGAAGAAATCGTTACAGGGCACGCCTGTCGCCAACGCGACGGATTCGCCTGCCATAAGAGCTTCAGCAGCTCTGAACGCGACACTGCAGGGTGACTCCGTACCCACACCACCGTCCGATCTGTCGCGACCTGCCATGCAGGCAGGCTTCACACCGGTGAACTCTGGAGGCTTTACAGCGGTCAACGCACTGTCATCACAGAAGCCATCTACGCAGCCCTCGACACCTAGTGCTTTTGTTGCGGCCAATGCCTCAGGCGCCATGCACCGGGATGTGCTGGAGTCGCGCACATCGACACCCCTGCGCAACGCTGGTAGCCCCATGCTCTCAGCTGACAACACACCCGACCTTCGACCGCCCGGCAATGGACTGACACCATTGGCCAACGGACATCAATTTAACCAGCTGAAGCGAACATTCTCCCAGGATCCAGAGAGCAGTGCAAATGACGATGTGGATGAGGCAAGCGGGCGACGGAGTAAGCGACTTAAGAAAGACGCTCCTCCTACGGTTGCTGGCTCCCACATGACTCAGCCTCGCCAATCGACGCCCAGCCGGTCTTTCCCACGCGTGAGATCGGCCGACGAACGACCTGGTGATCGTTGCGAAACTTGCGGTACCGATAATGATCCACAGAACATTTTGTTGTGCGACAGCTGCGACTCCG